CTGTTTCTGTAATCAAAGTACTCAACAGATTCAACGCACGTGTTGCGACATTAATGCATGAGTATACTTATGTGTGAGAGTGTGGAAATCGTGGGAGAAAAAGAGATCTACTCTCTGTATTTATATCGCATTGTGTATGTTTTCTGCATTTAGGACGAAATAGATAAATAAACAAAACAAGCAAACAAAACATTGAAGATAAAGAGAAGAGAAAAATAAAAGATTCAACCGTGAGGGATAGTTTTCGTGCGTCTTATAAAATTTTCCCCTTTACGAGAGGGAGATTTATAAACAGACGATATACGTTTGCATGGAAAGTGCAGATAATGCGATCTACCTGAAGTTAGGAACGTGATGTAACTATATTCCACATTTCAGCAGACACATTCTGAATGAACTGTAATTTAAAAACGAATCGGAAATATGAATCACATGATGAATGAAGGATTATATGTCCAGTATTTGTACATTTGAACTATCGAGTATAATTTCGATAAATTCGACATGTATTGCATACAAATGCGTAGACGAAACATAGTTAATAAGGAGAGGAAGATCTTCCAACGATGCACCTGTGATGTTCGCGGCCAACTTCATCATATACGATGACATCACGTGGAATTTTCCTTATACAACAATAAACTTGATGTGTGACTTTTATAATAATTGATTTTAGCTTGATCAAAATAATTCGAAATAATTTTAAATTTAATTTCAAAATTTAAAATTTAATTTTAAACTTTAAACCTATTTTCTACCAATGTGTGTCAATTTTAATCTCGATTCAACTTATATTCTTTATTTTTTTCTATTTGTAAGAATTAGAAAAAAATGAATAATCAAGTCATTAAGTTGAACCAAGATTAAAGTTAATCTACATTCGTGGAATTGGCATAAAAGATTTAATAATCCGCGTGTATTGTTTAATATTTTTATTCGGGATATGCATATTATTAATGTACTTGAACATTTTTGCATTGCGATTATATTCATTATTCTGCAATATGCAAAATATCCTGCATTGCTCGCTTCAATGACATCATTATATTTCTTAACGAGAATACCAATACAATTATTATCTTTTCGTTCCCGTCTTAGTCCCTATCTAATTTAATGTACGCAGTTACGTTCTGCAGCTTGTAATCAATAAAGTTTTTACAATATACCAGATACGGTGAACGCTAAGATCACGTTATCTTTTTCTTAACAATTAAAAAAGGATAACGTGATTTTAGCGTGCACCTTATCTGAATCTACGTTATTGCAAAAATTCCCTAATCTTTCTGCAACGTTCAGAACAAGCGCGATTATATTTTATAGGAATTATGGCTGATTTCACCAGCTTTCCTTCAAATTAATTAAATATCCTTTAAATTCATCCTTAATGCACAATTTCCCTGTTTTAATGTATAATTATAACATTTAACAGCGGATAATTATCGGATTAGATAATTCATATTTTATATCTGTATAAATTTCTAAGTTTTTAATTAAAGTTTAATTACTTCACAAGCTTCGATGAATATTTTTTCCTTCCAGAATAAGAGAAAATCTGTGAAATTTTCTAAGATTTCATTAATTTAATATTTAAAAATTAGTAACTGGAAAAATTAATAATTGGATTTTTTAAATCTTAGACACTTCTAAGATAATATTAATTTAATATTTGTATTTTAGTTTGTATTGATTAGTTTATATTGGTTAATGTATATATTGAGAATATAATAACTTGATAAATTAACGTGTAAAAATTCGCATGTTTTATCATATTTCATGTTTGACTTATTCTCTCCATATCTCGTTCTGGCACCTTCATGAAACCATGGCGGCAAAGGTCAAAAAGAATTTACTCAAGCTGACATTCACTAACGTGAGATGCAGATATTAATTAAATTTCTTTAATCGAGGAAACAAATTATGCAATTGGCGCAAATGGAACATTTTATGACTTAGAATCTTGAAGTTCGATACTGAACGAGTATATGCTTCATCAGATTTACATATATATATATATA